GGGGGATTGAACTGTGGTCCCTGTGCTTTGCTAAGCTTGTTCTAAGTAGGTGCTTTAGGGGCTGGGGATTTGGCTCAGCGGTAGAATGCTTGCCTAGCAAGCTGGAAACCCTGGGTTCGGTCCTTGGCACCAAAAATAAAACATAAACCTCCCCTAAAAAACAGTTCAAACAAAAAAATACGGTAAAATCAAAAAAGACCAAAAACAAACAAGGCAACTAAGTAGGTGCTTTAGACCACTGAGCCATCTCACCAGCCCCTGACTTGTTTTTTTATCAACTGTCCTGCCCACTGTATTTGTTTTTTCATCCAAATGTTTAAGCCTGCCTAGAAGGATTATGGGAATCTGCTGGAGACAGACAACTTCATGCTTGTGAAGGCTGCTACAGTCCCAAGTCTTTCCACTTCAAGGGGAGCTACTTCTCAGACCCTGTGGCTTTCACTCTCAGCTTGGAAGGTAAAAGGGGTGACTTGGATATTCAGGTACAGTCAAGAGAAAAGTTGCCTTTGTGCCTTAGTAAGGAGAAAGGAGGGAATGTAAATTATAAAGGGCAAACAACAGTTTCTGTGATTTTTTTTTTCTTAATGCCAATCAGTTCTGCAATTCTGTGACATAAACTGGGTGCCCAAGTATTCAGTTCAACTCAATACTGAGCTAATGAAGATCCTGCTGGTTAAGGGCTTAGCCCACAAGAGATTTCAGGTTCCCCAGTTTCTTTTATTCCCTTAGTGTGCATTAGCTGCATCTTCTTGAACTCTTTTACCTGCTTCCTCCTCTCTAGCCCCACCTTTTCCGTCACATTTCATTCTAAATGTCACTTCAGGGAAGTCTTCATACCCTGCTCTATCTAAAAATAGATGGCCGCATTATTTTCTATCACTTACGTCAGCCTGGGATTTATGTACTATATGGTTTGCCCAAGGGTCGGCAAATTCTTTTTCTAAAGGGCCCCATGATGAATATCTTACGTATGCTTTACAGGCCATAGGTCTCCTGCCCTCGTAGCATGAAGCAACCAGGGACAATAGTACTTAAAGGACGAGCACTGGCTGTGTTCCAGTAAAACTTCAGGGCATTACTATTTTAATTTCAAATAATTTCATTTGTTACTAAGTATTATTGTTTTGAGCCACCACCCCCACCCCCACCTATTTCAAGAGGTTGCCCAAAAAAAAAGTTGGCGGGTGGCCTATAGGTCAGACGTTGGTTGTAGGTGATCATTTGCTGATAACATTCCTGCTGTTTAGGTCAAAGTTTGAATCCCACAACACCGCCGGCACTAAGAGGGCCGCGTTCACTCAGGTGCTCAAGCAGACGACACCCTCACTGCTCTGAGACGCGGAGAGCAAGCGACCAAGCGCGCGAGCACCGCGGGAGTGGGCGGGGTCAGCGGGCAATTTGAATCCGGGGCGGTGAGGCGGCAGGAAGAGGGCGGGCCTAACACCAGCTTCCGGCGGAAGCGCGCTGGAGCAAGATGGCCACTACCAAGCGCGTGCTGTACGTGGGTGAGCAGGCGCGGGAGTTAGGCGGGGTCTGGAGAATCGATCCTTAGTGGGCAGGGACGTGGGGAGGGACACGTCCCTGGATGGCGTGGGCGGCGAGCAGCTGTCAAGGCCGGGTCAGTGGCAGTACTAATTTACCTCAGTACAGGAGCTCGAAACGCAGCGGCGGTCCTTTCAGCTTCATTTCTAGTCCGCTAAGGTCCACCAGGGCACGCAGAAGTCGTAGAGAAATACCATGGTCTCCCCAGTCCTCGCACCCATTCATTTTACACACAGTGCAGCAGAGGCACAGCACCAGCACCAGCTCCAGGCCTAGAGGCAGGAGTTTCAATACTATACAGTGGGACTAATGTCAGTATCACAGTTTGATAAGGGCTGTGGTGGGGGCGAACGAGGATTACATGCTTGGGTGCGGGCAGAAACGATTTGTTCATCAGGAGAGGTGAAAACAAAACTCCAGCGGATGCGTTGACGCTGGAGTTGGGGAGCAGAAGTTAGCCAGGAAGCCAAGAAGAGGCAAAGCTGTTTAGTGCCGCAAGAGCAGAAACCCAGAGATGTGAAAGGTCTGACACCCCGGAGCAAGTGGGTCATTTTTCAGGCAAACCAGGGGAACTGGGAGAACAAAATGAAAGATTCAGGGAAGGTGAACAAAGCTTTGTTGTGTACATGGTTAAGGAGTTTGCACTTTGTCCTGGGGACGATGAGAAACCTTTGAAAGAGTCTAAGTGGAGATGATGGGCTCATTTTTGCAATTTCCTAAGAGCTCTCAGATTGTCTTTGGGGAGCTGACAGAGAATGGAGGCAGGGAAATAGTTGTGAAGCTATTGTGGGAATCCAGGCGATGAGAGCCTGCAAGAAGGATAAAGAAATTAAGCTTCATATGTGTGGGTGGGCAGAAGGTGAGAAATGTCTGTGTGACAAAAAGATTAGCTGGAAAGATCCCTGCCCTTTGGCCTGCATGCTAACTGGCTGGAAGGACTTCTGCAAGATTATTGAGGACAGTGGCTCAGAAAGCTCTTGACTTGTTTGCAGGAGGACTGGCAGAAGAGGTGGACGACAAAGTTCTTCATGCTGCTTTTATTCCTTTCGGAGACATCACAGATATTCAGATTCCTCTGGATTATGAAACAGGTGAGTTTTGGTATGTGTCATGTTCAGAACCTATCTACTAAGAAAAGAACTTTTTCAAAAAATACATGAATATACATGACTCAGGCTCGGAATGTACCTCAGTGGTAGAATGTGCTTGTCTAGCACATTCAAAGCTGGGGTGTGATCCTCAGTACAATAAATAAAAGTGCATTTTATTTTTTTATTTTTTTATTGAGAAATAGCAATGAGATAGTTTCAAAACAAGTTACAATAATTGATACATTGCATATTGTTGTCTTCCTAGTAATTATTCATGTAGTATAAGATGCAGACATAATATCCTGTCCAAACACTGTTAATACAAATCTTTCTTCTCACTGAATTAAGAGAAAGTAGTTGTATATCTATCCTATGTTGTATATTTCACTACAAAATAGTCCTTCATTTATATACCCCTTTTGTCAGAGATGGGTATTCCATTGCCATTTAAATATTGTAGGTGCAGAAATTCAGCAATACAATATAGTTCAGTAGATCATAATAGTAGTCGGCTATCCATAGGACTGGCAATGTCAGAAGTTGTTGACTTGAGGCTTTTACAGCTCAGCATATTAATATGGCTTTACTTTTTTTTTATTTTAATTTTTATTTTTTGGTAGTTTTTTTTTTTTGGCTTTACTTTTTATACCTCGTTTTTATACTTTGTTGGATAGTTAAGGCCAAGATAAAAAGTGCATTTTAAATATGATTGGTACATGGGAACAGAGGATACTTCTCTAGGTCAGTATGACTAATCTTTTTTTTTTTTTTTTAATTTATTTATTTATTTGTGTGTGTGTGTATGTGTGTGTGGCCAGCTCAGCCCACCAGGAGGCAGGGCTGGCTGGCATGTGGTGCTGGGGGATTGAACCATGGTCCCTCTGCTTTGTTAAGCTTGTTCTAAGTAGGTGCTTTAGACCACTGAGCCATCTCACCAGCCCAGTATGACTAATCTTGATGCTGAAAGATTCTGAGGCTGTGTGGTGGTGGACTGTAAAAACTTTACAGTCTCTTATTTTTTTTATTTGAAATAAGTCAAATTTTTTAGTAGACAAATAGGAATGAACTACATTGAGGTCTGAGTGTTGTTTCAGACTATTTTCTGGGTTCACTATTATACCTTATCCTTTCTTGACTAATAAGTGGAGCAGCAGGAAAGCCTGGCCCAGTATTGAGGCTTTGGCCTCTGTGCGTATGAATGGCTGTTCCTTCAGCTGGCATTATGGTTATGCCTCAGTTTTGCATTGTATCTTTATTGTAATTTTTAAGATCAGAGTTCTAGACCCAACTCTGTCTTATCAACCTTGCATGTGATTGTTAGCAGTCTTTAAACTCTGGGCCTGGGAAATCTTTATTTGCAAAAACAATAAATTTAGGTTAGTTGTGTTAGGGCCTTTCTAGTCACTGAACTTTAATCATTAAATTAACGTTGTTGCACCAGGGATGTAGTTCATTGGCATAGTACCTGCCTGGAAGGGGCCCTGAGTTTGATTTCCAGTACTGAAAAAGAAAATAGTGAAAGAAAGAAAGAAAGAAAGAAGAAAAGAAAAGAAAGCTAGCTTTAAAAAAATTAACAGTGTCGTTTGGCCTGTCTAGTTAGATCAGCATTTGCCTGAAAACTGAATATCCTATAAGGTTTTTTCTTTCCTATAAGTTTTTATAATTCATACATTATGTATGTCCAGTTGATGTTAAAATTGTAATATGGATGAGTAATTGATATGTTAAAATGACTTCAGTTTTTAGTTGCCTTGCCTGCAAAGACTTAAGGCTTAAGTTTGGTTCTAGTAGAAGAATTAAATACCAACTTTAAAGATTAAAAGCATAGTTCACTAATTATGTCCACTAAGTAAGTTTGTTATTGCTTAAAATATTGCTTAAAAGGAATCAAAACAGTAGAGAGTGATTGGGTAGAATTTCTAGTGTCTGAATATGATATATAATTGACTTCACTGTTTTGTGACCATTTTGTTCCTTCTCATTGCCCTCTGTCTGGTCATTACTTGTTTTCTGTGTTTCTTTTTTGCAGAAAAGCACCGAGGTTTTGCTTTTGTTGAATTTGAGTTGGCAGAGGTGAGAAAATTCTGTTTTATGTTCTGGTTTATGTTTATAGTTCCTAATTGTAAAGGAAGCTGTCAGGTTTTTAGCTAAATTTCTGGGCCTTAGATTAATGCTTCCAGAGAGATTAAAAGAGCTGGCTTTAAAAAAAAAAAAAAAAAAAATCTTTTAACTAATTTATTTATTTGGTACAAGGTCTGGTGATCCTTGTATCTCAGCCTCCCCAGCACTGGGATTACAGGCTTGTGCCACCACACCTGGTTTTGGTGGCTGGCACAGTGCAGGGCTGGCATTGCATCTGGTGCTCGGGACCAAGCCTGGGTCTTTGCTTGCCAGGCAGGTGCTTAGACCACTGAGTTATCTCCCCAGATCTTTCTTTTTTTTTTCTTTTTGAGACAGGGTTTCAGAATGTAGTTCAGGTTGGCATTGAACTCCCCAGCTGACCTGAAACTTGTAGTTATCCTCCTGCCTCAGCCTTCCAAGGCTGGGATTACAAGTGTACCAAAACCTGGCTCAGAAGTGGTGCTTGAAAGAAAGATCCTCTCACTTAATCAGACTGTGCACTGTGAATAACAAATGTCTCACGCCTTTGCCAGGCCCTGCCCCTCCAGCTCAGCTTTCCTGCAGTCCTATTCATTAAGCATTCTTGGGCTGACTTTTTGTCTTCAGCTGGGTGGCACATTGCATCCCTACCAGATTAAAAGTCAGCTCAGAAATGGTCTTTGTTAGACACACATACAGCCTAGGAAAGAAGTACAGACAGACGTGACCTGTTCCTACTTAATTCTTTGCCACTGTGTGTGAGAGAGTTTAAAGGCATGAACATTCAGCTATAAGCCTAAGTGTATACTTTATCTTTCCTTGCAGGATGCAGCAGCAGCTATTGACAACATGGTATGGTTGGAACTCTCCTTGTAACCGAAGTTGTTATTTGGTGGGACACAAGACTTTGCTCGTATTTTGGTTTTCAGAACTCTCAAAGTGTCAAGTTGTTTAGGGAAGTAAATACATGCTGTAAAAGTATTCATTGTCCATTGAGTACTTGCAAAATCATTCCTTATTCAGACTTCTTTCCCCATGTAACAATGTAAGTTCTAATCATCCTTATTGGCCTATCTCTTACTGTCTTCCTGGTATCTAGGATAATAAATTACAAATAGTGCAAATTGATTGCACTGAAACTGCTTATTTTACAGAAGAGGTAGGATTTCATCAAATGTTCAGCCAGTTAACAATGGAGAAGGGAAATTCAATAAGGATAATGACAGAGTGTGCTACTGATGCAAATGATTTGAGTGCTCTGGGAAAGTCCTTAAAAAACATGATGGTGCTCTTCAGTGTCTGTTCCCTCCTTTAAAAGCTTATATGCAATTTTCGTGTCAGATACAATGTGCATACTGTTGGTAGAATTTTGTTGGAAAAAAATACTTCAGATTAATCAGCTCTTGTTACATTATTACCAATCAGTACATAGTTTATCCTGAATATTAACTTTAAGAAACTCATGGGGGTAGGAGCCGGGGAGATGGCTCAGTGGAGTAAGTGCCTCCCTGGCAAGCTCAAGGGTCTGAGTTCAATCCCCGGTTCCGCCAAAAAAAAAAAAAAACCAAACAAGAAACTCATGGGGCCGGGGAGATAGTTCAGTGGAATAAGTGCTTCCCTGGCAAGCTCATGGGCCTGAGTTCAATCCCCAGTTCCATCAAAAAAAAGAAAAGAAAAGAAACTAACATTTTCATTATTTTTAGTTGTATCACAAGTCATAGACAAAAAGAAAAAAAAATGTTTTTTCAATGAAGTTTTCCTTACAGCCTTAAGTGGATCCAGATTAAGTGACCTTGTTCAGTGCAAATTATCTTTGAATAATGAAATTCTCCTTTACTCCCTGTTCTGTATCACCCATTCACCAATTATATTCTTTAGCTGTCAGACAGATCACTTTTCACTGTTGGAAAGCTGATCTTCGCTTTTTAAGAACTTAGGTTTTGGGAGACTGTGTTTATCTTTGTAATTTCGTTCCCCAGAGCTCAGAGTTCTTTTGAAGTGACAGCTCGGCCCTCTCTTTATGGATTCTTTATAGTGCGAGCATAACTTGCTGCTAGGCATTCAGAGGTTAAGGAAATAGAAATCCCTTAATGAGCATGTTTTAGAAGTAAATGCAGAGCTTTTTGGCTCTTTTAATCTGGAAGAGTTTCAGCAACTGGATTTTGAATTTTTTCAGAATGAATCTGAGCTCTTTGGACGGACAATTCGTGTCAATTTGGCCAAACCAATGAGAATTAAAGAGGGTTCCTCCAGACCAGGTGAGTGGGAGCAACTCGCAGATCCCTACTGTATCCTCCAGGTCTGCCTTACTTGGAAGTTGGTGCTAACTGCTGCTTTCTAGCAATCAGGAGTGGAGGATGGTTCACAATGGCAAAGGGCATATAGTGCCTTTATGTAGCAACAGAGTGATTGTTTCTTTTATGAGAATCTTCCTATTTTTCTTGGAACTATTTCTGAGAAATAGTGCCCCATCGAGGGCTGGAACCAGCAAAGGCATATCTTTGCCTTTGGCATAATTCTTTTAAGAGTTGGAGCTTAAGGATTTTGCCCAGTGGGAGTTTTCCTTGCTCTGGGCAGCTCTCCAAAGGGTCTCCTTCAGCTGAGAGAGTAGCAAAGGCTTTTCCTTCTTGCTGACTAGAGCAGCTACTTGACAGTTGCCTGGTGACTTGACTTTATTGACATTAGTTTGATTCTTTCCTTTCAGTTTGGTCAGATGATGACTGGTTGAAGAAGTTTTCTGGGAAGACTCTTGAAGAGAATAAAGAGGAAGAAGGGGCAGAAACTCCCAAGGTAGAAACCCAGGAGGTGAGATTAACACTTTTTTTTTTTTTTTTTTTAAAGACAGCGTCTTGCTACACAATTCAGGCTGGGCTTGAATTCACTATGTAGCCCTGGCTGGCCTTGAGCTCTTGGCAATCCTCTTGCCTCAGCCTCTGGAGTGCTGGGATTGCAACTATGCACCACTACACCCAAGCAAGAAGGCTTGTGCTTCCAGAGGAATTGATACTTTCCATAGGAGACATTTTCTTAAAAATTTGTTTGTTGTTTTTTTTAATTTGCAAGTATGTACCGTAGAAGCACAGAACACTGATATTGAACTTAGTATTTTGGAGAAGGCAGTGTTGAGTGAATAAAAGGGAGATGCTTTAGGCTCTCATGCTCTGCCACAGATTTGCAGTGCCAGCTGAGGCAGAGTAGTCCAAGTGCTCTTCATCCTGCCTGGCAGCCGTTCCTTCACTGAGGAGTCTGGCACCAGGCTGTCTCCTGTTTCTGCCCTGTTGCAGGGGAGACACAAGGTAGCAGGCCTTCCAGTCAGCCAGTGTGGAATCAAGCCTCTTCCCTTCCTGGAGAGCCCTACCCGGCACTTCCCCTGGTTCTCAGCACACCTTCCATACCAATGCTTGGGCTTTCCCTCTTCTACGTTCTTGTGAGCCTCGTCAGTCTCCTGTGCTTCATCTTTGCTCCACTCCAGTTGTCAGTCTCTGAGAGTGCGCAGCACTACTATGCTGCTGACTTTCAGCCTGTGTTTCTAGTGCTAAGCTTCAAATTTTTCGCTCCACAAATCTCACAGGTGCCTTGAAGTTGGCCTAGAAGGGACCTCCTTCCCTTTCTCTAGTTCTGCCTTCTGTATTCTCACTCATGGTTAATCCTTCCAGCCACTGTTGACCCAAGCCAGAAATTTAAATGCAGAGCAGAATGCCTAAAGTGACCCTCAGTAGGTGGAATTCCACCAGGTCATGCTTGGCCCACTTTTAAGATAAAGCCAACAAGCAAGTAGGTCTGACCAAGTGGGAGCCCAAAGTAAGGTGCCAGCCTCCATTGTCCTCTGAGCTTCTAGGTGCAAGCAGGACAGGTCCTTCTGCTTTTGTGTGTTGTCCGATAGTACTGCAAACTGGATTGGAGGGAGGAGCTAATGGGACATGAGTGGGTACATGAACTGGAGTGTGCTGTGTGGGCTCAAGCTGGGGATTGAGGAGCTGCATACTGTGAGCAAGCTGCAGCGCAGGGGATGGGATGACTGTGTCTCAGAATGGGGCTGCTGTTTCCATGGACGACTTCTCCTGCAGCCCTGTCGAGGCCTAGTACCATCCCTTCTGCACATTTGCCCAGCCTGCCTGCTGCAGTTGTATTCTAGGTGGGTGCAGAACAATACTTATGCTCCTACTCAGGGAATCATGGACTCGTCTCTAACAGTTTCCTCTGCACATAGGGAGAGCCCCCTGCAAAAAAGACACGGTCAAATCCTCAGGTGTACATGGACATCAAGATCGGGAACAAGCCAGCCGGCCGTATCCAGATGCTCCTGCGTTCTGATGTCGTGCCCATGACAGCAGGTGAGAAGGGCCCTACTGCACTCAGGGCAGTAGGTAGGTGGCTAAGCAGAAGCTTGCCAGGGTTCTTGCCGCCGCAGTTCTTATGCCCTTGACAGAGTCAGTTTCACAAGGTTTGTTTTAATAAAAAGTGTTTTTTATTAAGCCTACAGTAAATCTGATCACTAGGCAGACATGGACAAAAAATAGTGAGCTGTCCCCTGATGTTGAGCCTTGCCCCATTCCAGCACTGCTCATTATCCCGCAGAGACAGCTGAGTTCAGATCCTATACAGTTGGTTTTTACTTCTATGGGTAGATGCTTTGTATTTGTACTACCTGTTTTTGGTTTGTTTTAATTTAACTTAATTTTTTTTTTTTTTTTTTTTTTTGGTATTTTATGAAAGGGTCTACAGGGTGTTCAGAGTCTCACTCCTAGATCAAACTCATACTGACGCACATGTTTACATCCTCCCAAGTGCTGGGATTACAGGCATGCTCCACCACGCCCAGTCTCAGTTGCCATCTCAGCACACCCTGGGGGCGGGGCTGGCATGAAAGGCCTGGGGTGTTTTAATTTTAGACATTATCTTTTGACTTTGAGTTTCAGGAATTCACTGTTTTCCCCCATACTGGGAATTAAACCAGGGACACACTAAAAGTTGCCCAGGTGCAACTCAAACTTGTAGTCTTCCTGCCAGAATGTGTCTTACCTGTCACTGCACCCTGCCTAAGGATTTAGCTTTTTAAAATCCCTTTTAGTACCCACTCCTCCAGGTTCATACCCTCTTGCTTCTCTCCCAGACCGAAGGCTCTGCATCCAGCTGTTTGCCATCCTAGTGAAGAGACAGGAGAATCAGTCTATAAACTTCCATTTCCCTTTGTGATGATGGTACCTCAGCCTCCTTTGTGCAGTGTGTTCTGATCCAGAACCCTTGTGCTTTAACCCACCAGCTAGCAGGCCTCTGCTGGGCACCAGGCCAAAAAAGGGGCAGCCCAGACCCACAGGGCCAAGGAAAACTTCTCAGGAATCAATTGCTTTCTTAAACAGGGCTCACCCAGACATGCTGTTTTAGAATCATTGTCACATTTATATCTGAGTGTTTGGCATATAAACTGATTTGTTTGTTGGGTTTTCCCAACCTCGAGAGTCAGCTTTCTCAGGTCTGTTATGTCTGTTATGACTTGTCTCTTTGTTTTCTAGCTTTCAGATTTTTCTGTTGCTATTGTCTTCTCCCTACCTTTTTGTTTATTTGTTTTGTGCTACTGGGATGCATAACTTACGGACACTCTTCTACAGAGCTACAACTCTCTCCCTTTTATTTTGAGACAGTCTTGCTGAGTTATCCAGGCAGAACTTGAACCTACAATTTTCTTTCCTCAGCCTCCTAGAGTGCTGGAGCTCCGGGCAGAACTTGAACCTACAGTTTTCCTGCCTCAGCCTCCCAGAGTGCTGGGGCTCTAGGTGCCACCACACCTCGCTTTCCCACTTTTCTTTATTTTGGTTGCTCTCACCATTTTTAAATATACCATTACCCTCATTCCCACCAGCAGTGTGTGAAGTTCCCCAATTTCTCCATCTTCTCCAGTGCTTGTGAAGTGGTATCTCATTGTGGTTTCCATTTCCACTTCCCTAATTACTAATGTAGAGCATCTGTGAATTCATTGGCTATTAACTGAATCAATTGTCTTTTTCTTGGTTTTTTGCTGCTTGTTTATTTTGAGCCAATCTTGCTTTGTCATACAGGCTGGCCTCAAACTCACTATGGAGCCCAATGTCATACAGGCTGGCCTCAAAGTTGTGGTGATCCTCCTGCCTCAAGCTCCTAAGTGCTCGTTACAGGTGTGCACCGTAACCTCCAGCTGTGTTGTTGAATTATATCTGGAAATTAAAGCCTAGTCAAATATGGCTTCACATAAATTCTCCCATTCTGTGGGTTGCCTTTCATTATTAATATTAAGTGCCCTCCTTTGCACAAAAATTTTTAATTTTTTTGTTTGTTTGTTTCTGTTTTTGGTACTTAGGACCAAAATTGAACTTAGGACCTTTCACTTGTGAGCAAAGTCTCCAGCCCTAAAAGTTTTTAACTTTAATGTATCTATTGTGTTTTTCTTTTGTTACCTCTGCCTTTGGAGTCATATTTAAGAAACCATAGCCAAATCCCAGGTTGTGAAGATTTGCCTTATGCTTTCTTCTAAGATCCTTTGGGTTCCCTCTTTAAAACAATTTCCATCAATGCAGTGTGGTGTGGGGAGGCAGGAGAGCTGGGATGAACACAGAGTATGCAGGCCTCCTTTAATCATGAAGAAGTCATTATCACAAAAGTTTACAAGGAGCCTCTCTGAAAAATAAAAATACAGTTGACCTTCCTTCTCCAGGGATTTTACATCTCTGGATTCATCCACTCACAGGTCACAGATTAGTTGAGGGAAAAATTTAGTACACCTATGCTCAATCTATTTTTGCTTTGTTTTTTGAGATATAGTCTCACTATGTAGTCCAAGTTGGCTTTGAACTCCCAGTGTCCTGGGTGCTGGGATTACAAATATGTACCACCATGCCCATCCTGTACTGAATCTACTTTTTTTTTTTTTATTTCCTAGACAATTCTGTATATCAACTATTCACATAGCATTTTCATTGTATTAGGTATTGTAAGTTATCCAGAGATGATTTCAGGTATACAGGAAAGTACCTGCATGTGGCACCCAGCTATAATCCCAGTACTCAGGAGGTTGAGTTAGGATGATTGTCCCAAGTTTAGGGCTAGCCTGGGCTACATATGCTTATGTGCATATATGCACGTAAAGGTTATAAGGGACTTTTGATATGAGTAGCACCAGATTTTGCTATCTGCAAAGGGTCTTAGAACCAGTCCCATATAAATACCAAAGGATGAACATTTGAGGTTTCATTTGTCTGGCTCTATCTTCTAACCTCAGCACTTTGTCCTTTCTCGACCTCAGAGAATTTCCGCTGCCTATGCACCCATGAAAAGGGCTATGGGTTCAAGGGAAGCAGCTTCCACCGCATCATCCCCCAGTTCATGTGCCAGGCTGGGGATTTCACAAACCACAATGGCACCGGGGGCAAGTCCATCTACGGGAAGAAGTTTGATGATGAAAACTTTATACTCAAGCACACAGGACCAGGTAAAAGGTGTGGGGACTCGTGGCAAGGGAGGCCGGGCTGGGCTGGGAGGACAGCTATGGTCTGGCTGTGAGACAGAGGCCTAGGGAAGAGTGGGACCTCACTGCATCACACCTCTGGTAGCCTAGCTTCGGTCCCATGATCTACCCTGAATCCCTTTGTTTCTCTCCCACCTTGTCAGACTTGCTTAGTAAAATTTCAGCAGTTGGTCCCCCTACAACTGGAGAAAAACACAGAATTGTCTTGCAAGATCCCACGTGAATTTCATGGCTGCAGTTCTGACCTGCTTTGCCTTGCAGATGCTCTGTCCTAGTAAACGACAGTTCCTTTCCCACCTTTACTGCTGAGGCCTCTCCGGCACCCTCTAGTTTAGCCTGCTGTCTCGCCACCTACCTCTCCACACTTGTATGCTCTGACTGTCTTCCGAGTACAGAGACCAGCTGCTGTGCTGTGGACTCTATCCTGCCTCCTCCCCTACTTCAGAACTTGGCTTTAGCTCTTGTCTCTCTGCCTCTGTGATCCACTTCCCCTCTACCAGATCAGTGTGTCAGCTTATAATCAGTGCCTGTATTTTATTTATTTTGTTTGGGGTATATAGTTCAGGCTGGCCTTGAACTCATGGTGATCCTTCTGCCTCAGTCTCCTAAGAGCTGGGATTATAGGCATGCGCCACCATACATGATAGTCATAGTCTTTAAAAAAAAAAAAAAAGTATCCTTGGGAGGTGAGATGTAGAAAGATAGCAAGTTGAAGGCCAGCCTGGGCAGGTTAGTGAACTTTGCCTCAAAACAAAAAGGATTAGGGGAGGGCTGACCAGATAGCTCAGCATACTGAAGTGCCTGCTTAGGCAGATGCAGCAGCTGGGGTTCAATTCCTGGCATACTGTGCCAGCCCCGCCCCTGGGGTGCACTGAGATGGAGATTGAGACTGAGTGTGGCGGCGCATGCCTGTAATCTCAGCTCTTGGGAGGCTGAAAACAGGAGAATCACTATAAGTCTGATCTATGAAGTAAGACCCTGTAGACCCTGTACTAAATACATTTTTAAAAAAGGAAGAAAGGAAAGAAAGAAAAGGGTTGGGGCACCCTTGGGTTTAATCCCTACTACCACACAAAATAAAAACTAACAAAAAAATAATCTTCTCCCAAAGGAATTGCTAAATTTATTAGCCAGCTATGGTGGCACATGCTTGTAATCCGAGCAGTTGGGAGGCTGAGACAGAACGACTCATGATTTTGAGGTCAGCCCAGGCTACATAGTGAGACATGTGCAGAACAGATTGTACAGAGGCATTCTTGCACTTATATTCCCCCATAGCTACCACCCGTGTCTCTGGTAAGGATTGAACCCAGGGCCTGCAACATCCTAGGCAATATTCTTCCAGTGAACTACACACTCACCCTTTTATGCTTCATGCTGAGCCAGGGACTTGCAGGGTTGCCTGTGCAACCTCAAACATGTGGTCTGCCTCAGCCTCCTGAATGGATAGGATTACAAGCATGAACCACGTGCCTGCACTGGTCCATCTTTCAAGTAAAACTTGGAAAAAGTTTAGACTGCCAGGCGTGGTGCCACATGCCTGTAATCCCAGCACTCAGGAGGCTGAGGCAGGAGGATTATTCCAAGTTTGAAGGCAGTCTGGGTGACATAATGAGTTCAAGGCCAGTCTGAACTACATAGTGAGACCCTGTTGCAGAATACAAAACAAAAGGGTTATTATGGGTTTTTTGTTTTGTTTTGTTTTGTTTTTTTGTTTTGTTTTGTTTTGTATTTAGGACAGGGTCTACAGGGTCTCACTGCATAGATTGGACTGTAGTGGTCCTCCTTTTTACAGCCTCCCAAGTGCTGGGATCACAGGCATATGACAACACACCCAGTCTCAAAACAAAAGTTTAGACTACGCTTGAAAATGTAACAGCCTCATTGTCTTCATTTTCTCTAAGCCTTTTCAACCAGGCTTCTAGTTGCAACCACTCTTCCCTGTTGCCAGTAGCCAGTTCTGGGCCTTTATCTTATTCCTTCTCCTAGCAACATTTTATACCGTTACCCCGTGCTCCTTGCATCTTCCTTCACTTTGCTGGCAGGACTCCTCCCTTTTCTGGTTGCCTTTTGCTTCATTGGCAGCTTTTTCCGGCTTTGCCATCTCGTGTTTCCTACTTACCCCCTAAATTGAAGTGGCTCAGAGCTCAGCTACTTTCTCCATAGATTCTGCTGCCCACGCCTCCTTTTTCTGACAGTTTGTACTACCCTTCTTCACTATGCTGGACGGAAAACATAGATGCCATAGCTGCCTGCCCACGGAGTTACTCTAGAAGCTGATACTGTTTTTTTAATACAAAAAGTGTATTTCTGGACGTAAATGCGCAAATACAGCTGTGCCAGCAGATAGCGCTGTTACTTGGATGTGTGCACCTGTGCTCAGCTGCATCAGTTAGAAATGCAGGCAGGTGTCTGCCAGCTGCTGAGTGCAAGGTGACAGGAGCCTGTGAAGTGATAGAGAAGACTGACTGGGATTCCAAGTGGAGAGCCATTGCCTGTTAATGTTGTAGGTGCTGGGGATATAGTTTAGTAGCACAGTGCCTGCCTGGCAAGTGCAAGGTCATGAGTTCTATTCCTTTTTTTTTTTTTTTTTTTTTGTATTTTAGAGAATGGTCTACAGGGTGTTCAGGGTCTTACTACTAGATTGGACTCATAGGGATCTGCCTGTTTACAACCTCCCAAGAGCTGGGATTATAGGCACATGCCACCACACCCAACCTCAGTTGCCTCAATGTGCCCCAGGGACGGGACGGCCTGGGGATTGAACCCCCAGCTCCTGTGCCTGCTTGAAGGTGCTTTAATCCACTGAGCTATTTGGCCGGCCCGTGAGTTCTATTTCTGATACCAAAAAGAATATGCCTGATATATAGTTGTATTAGAAGACTCTAGCCAAAATAAAAACCCTCAAAAATGTTGGGATTAGACCTTAGGTACAGGTAATTACAAACACATTTTCACCGTCACCAATATGAGCAGGATGTGGGACACTTCTGCATTGTACATGACTTTGCAGAATATGTAGCCTTTGGGGCTGTGCTCACTGAATGCCAATAGCACTGCTTAGTGTGTCTGACAACCAAAAACATGTTCAGTGTCTTAAACAGCCCCTGGGAAGGACCAACCCCACTGAGTCACTGTGCTGAGGAGTCATGTTCAGGCCTAGAGCTTTCACTGAGATCTAAGTTGACTTTGTCCACACTCCGAGTTCCTGTCCATTTGTCCATGTGTGGCCTTTACTGAGTGTCCCATGGGCCCCTCCAACATCACAGGACCAAAACAATGCTTACTCTTTTCCCCCAGATCATTCTACTGATCCTTCCTATTTTGATAAAGACACCCCTGTCCATTTGGCTACTGATCAGAAACTTAGGGCTCACCCTTGACTCCTCTGCCACCTATATAGCACAACTGTCCCTTCATGACACCTCCTAGCCCAGCTGCATGACACACACATGTGAACACATGTACAGTCCTTTAATGACCCTTTTCTACTGACTGAACATTACCCCAATGGACTGCTTTGCTCATTAGTGTCCAGAGCTTAATAGGGTCTGATTATAAACTAGGTAATAATTGTTAAATAAGGAATAAAAGGATAGATCAATATAAATGATTAAAACAACCCTCTTCAACCTGTGTCACTACTGATTGACAGACAAGGTGGCCGCACCTTCTGGCTGGTGTCCCCAGTGAGGCTGCAGTGGAAGGGCTGGGGACAGGGTAGAGGAAACTGATGATTGTGTTCTCCCAGGCCTCCTTTCCATGGCCAACTCTGGCCCAAACACAAATGGCTCGCAGTTCTTTCTGACCTGTGACAAGACGGACTGGCTAGATGGCAAGCACGTGGTGTTTGGGGAGGTCACCGAAGGCCTGGATGTCTTGCGGCAGATTGAGGTAGGTGGCACCCTGTGGGAGGATGGGCAGGGGCTGCCTCTGCCTGGTTCCAGGCAGGAGGCTTTCCCTAATCTCTTTAGTCCCCTGACTTGGCCTCCTCTTCTGTTCCTCCCACAAAGGCCCAGGGCAGCAAGGACGGGAAGCCGAAGCAGAAGGTGATCATCGCCGACTGTGGGGAGTACATGTGAGGTGGCACCACCAGTTCCCTCTCTGCTCCCTGCGTGTCCTGTGGGAAGCAAGCAGTGCTGTGTCCGAGCTCCTCCTTGGGCCAGCTTGGAGCAGCTCCTCTGGAGCATGGCCTGGACTTGGTATGAGCTCCTGCCAGGTGCACTGTGTGCCTGTGGCCAGTGCGGTACCACCCTCCCCACCATGGATAGCCGAGTGTGTCCACTCGCTTTCCCAGGTGTGGCTGCCAAGTCTGCCCTGGCCCACCTGAGGCTCCTGGATACTTTCTTTGCTAAAATAAATCCTGATTCTTTTATTACTGCCTCCAGAGAGTTCCTAGGAGCTGTCAGATTTCATCTATGGCTAAGCTGTGCTCCAGAGATGGGCTAGCAAGTAGATAAGGCAGTTCCTGCCCCACAGCTTTTTCTTCTCCCATGGGCATATTCCGTTAGGTGGCAGTGACACATCTTCATGCCAGATGTCTTGTGAGATGATGTAGGGGCAATGGAAATCAAAGATAGTACAGAAGTTTCTGTTTTCTGCTTTCTTGTCCCTGCTAATACAGCCTCGACCAGTCTTGTAGCCAGTGAATATGCTGATTAGCCTCAGTGGTCCATTAACTTTATTTTATAGGGTTTTGTTTGTTTTTTGTTTTTGTAGCCTCAGTGGTCCATTAACTTTATTTTATAGGGTTTTGTTTGTTTTTTGTTTTTGTAGCCTCAGTGGTCCATTAACTTTATTTTATAGGGTTTTGTTTGTTTTTTGTTTTTGTTGGGGTTTTTTTTTAACATGATACTTCGTAGCCCAAAAGTGCCAAATACTATGTTTGTTAGGAGATGGATTAGCAAAATACATGCCCTAATCCAGCCACCCACTACCTGTTTTTGCCAATACATTTTATTGGAATACAGCCACCTCCATTCATTTATATATTGTCTATGGCTGTTTCCTCACTATAGCAGCAGAGCCGAATAGTTGGTGACAGACACTGGATGGTCCCTGTATTTGTCAAGAGTTCTCCAAAGAAACAGAACCAATAGGATGTGGACAAAATGGACCAGGACAAAACTAGGCTTGCCATTCAAGTCCTAAGTCAGTCTAGAAGCAGAATCCTGTTAAAGTCTTTCCTCTTATGATTTTCAACTGAGTGGATGAGGCCTGCTTACCTTATGTGTAGTGATCTGGCTTATTCCACTGATTTAAAGATATTAATCCATATAAAAAATATCTTGATATGGTATCAGCTAGTCCCTAAAAATCAGTACCATGGACTAGGCAAGTTGATCCTGGGAAGCTTTCTCTACACAGAGGTGAGCAGGCATTTGAAGCTGGGGACCACAGCATTGAGTCCACTGTTTGTACAAGAACCAGGAGAGGCTCAGTCCAAAGAGCTTAGCAGATCAGCATCAATGAAGGCAGAGATAGGCTGGGATCCAGGACTAGGAATGCATCTGCTCGCTATTTCCAGCGGAGAGGTAGCGGCTTCCAGACCACTGCCTGGGTATAGCCTCATGGCAGCTCTCCGAGAAAGGAGCTTGGACAGATGACTTGGCAGAATGGAACCTCACAACACAAGTTTGGGTCATGAGAAACTAAATAACCATGTTTTTAAAAATTTAAGAAATTTTCACTATATAATAAAGTGAAAAAGATCACAAAGCAACTTATATAGTATAGTATGATAAATTATATGTAAACAGATACAGATGTATTTTAAGAAAAACTAGAAATAAGTGACCAAAATATTAGTGGTGTATTTATCTGAGTCATAGGACTATGGTGATTTGAATTTTATTTTTGTATTGTCCACATTCCTCCAAAACTACGTTTTGTTTTTTTTTCAAAAACTACGTTTTTAATAAATGAAAAAACTTCTTAAAGTGAGTTACATGCCTGCATAAAGCCTCACATTACTGGTTGGACTTAGGTGCTAATTCCCATGTCCAGATTGCCACATCAGTGTGCATGAGGATGACCTACAGTACGCCATGGGGTCTGGAAACACACTAGCACAGTTTCACAGCTGCCTGCCACCCACCTTGCCAGACTCACCAGACCTTTAAAGGTGGTAAGAACATTGAAGTCCTGCTGTCTGGGGAAAGCCAGGTTAGATGTTTTAGGAAAAAGCACATCAGACTAAATATGGCATCACTGGTGAAACATTTTGGTTTAATGCACAGGCACAGAGGTGGTTCCAAATGAGCAAATCTTACAGTCATGACCACAGGTACTGGTTATTAAGGATGTACATGTCAGATGTACCACAGGCTTGTGCATATTTAATATTTATAGTTTTTATAGGAGAGAAGAACCAATAGCCCACTTCCCAGAGGAAAAAGCAGAACTTGGATTCAAATCCATCTGGACTCTTGCTGGCAGAGCGGTGCCTGTAGTTCCAGCACTCAGGAGGCTGAGGCAGGAGAGCTATTACAATTTCCAGGCCAGCCTGGGCAACATAGCAAGACCCTGTCTCAAAAAAAAAGAAAAAATATCTAACTCCTACTACGCTGATTTTTTTTTCCTGCCTTAGAAAACACATTACTTTCTAAGAAGACAGCAAACACATCCTCTGATGATGTGGCACCAGGTCAGTACTGCAAGGCACTTCTAGTTTTTGTGTCTTTCTGTCAGCTCTCAGTGGATATGAACTGACCACTCTTGGTTAACTTGGCCTGGTGCAAGCAGACCAACAGGCTGACCCTGAGCACGAAAAGGGGAAACAGGGCCATCGGGCTTGCCAGGCAGGCTGCCCACTGCAACTGCCATTCTTGGCTCAGCAAACGACTCCTGCAGTCAAACACATGGGCTTTGGGTCTATTCACAACTGTTTTGCTGCTCAAGGGCTTTTCTATTTGATTTCCTTATGTGACCACCTGGATGGCAAAAATTACTAGAAGCCTAATAATGGCAAGATGGGTAGATAATGCCTTGTGTTTCACTTTTATTGAATGAGTATGGTAACTGCTATCCATTTCTGCTGTGCAGTTTGGTAGGTTAAGGTATAGTCCATGCCTACAAACTTCTGAGTTCCTGGTGTCACCCCTGATATGCCAGGGACACTAAAATCATTGGCTGGACAGTAAAATTATTAGAAGTAAAAAAAATCAGTTGTCAATAATTGGATAATTGACCTAGAGATAACCCTTGATGTTAAGAATTGTTAGAAAGTACTAGGATATCAAATAGGTCATTTGTACTTGCCAGCTAGCTGACAGCCACGTGGGCTGCACATTCAGGGCCATAACGCTGCATAGCCCCCTGTGATGAAGGCTGGGTGACAGATACCTTAGGTGAGGGTCCTTTGGAAATCAGAGTCCAGCTCCCTCAGTTACAGAGGGAAAATAGGCCCAGATCAAGTCAGCTGTCCTTATATTCATCCCAAAGCTGGATCCCCCAACTAAGGGTTCCCCCAACAGATGGGGAAACTTCCCGAATCAGCTGAGCTGACCTCTGCATATGTGCAAGGGTGCCTTCCCCGGCACTACCACAGGAGGGCCTCCCCTGGACTCCATGGAAGGGCTGCTGTCCCGTAGCCTGGCCCCAGCCTCTCCCCTGCCTCCACACTTCCCCTCCCCCAAACCTGTCCCCAAGAACAGTGTGAACCCGAGATACGTATCCCAGGGCTCATGGGTGGGTCCGCTGAGGCTGGGTGTGGGCAGGGGCAGGCCCAGGACCTGCTCCAAATGACAGCTCACACAGCTGGGCTCCATCTGTTCCGCAGGTAAATTAGAGGCTGAGCCAGTCTGAAATCAAACACTCCAATTCCCAGCAGCTGCTCCAAGGAGAACAGCGGTTTCTGGGAAGAGAGGCTGAGACAAAGGTCCTCACCTAACTCAGTCAATTACTATGTCACTCTCCTGGGACAGGGGCCCTTTTCTCTGACTCACAAGTACAAGAAAAAGGCCAGGGGTACTGGACACCCTTTGGTGGTCAGTCTCTTTGACATCTGAGCACAAGCAGTGCTGACAAGCTGCTGGGCTTGCGCCAGATCTGGTCACAGGCTGCCAGGCATCGCAGACAGGTTTCCCTTGCACGTTGCAGAAGATGGCAAACACTTTTCACTTCACATGGAGTCCTGGAGCTCTGGGATCATTTGGAAGTTCAGACTCAGAAGAAAGTATCAGAATAGATTATTGATGTTTGCCTTTCAGAAGGAAAGGGGAGATGATGGCACCTGTGCTGGCCGTTGGCATCCTGGACTACCCAGTGCAGCCACCTTTTCTCTCAGCACAAGAAACTATGCCCGCAGGCTTTGGCTTCTGACAGGCAAACATGGTAGCAAACAGGAATCCACTGGAAGCCTCCATGGTTTTTCTGTTTCTCCAAATCAAGAAGTCCACCCATGTACATTTCCTCCAGGCAGCAGCGGCAGGTACAATATAGGAAAATGGGAGAAAATACATGCTATTGGCTTCAGCCTTTGTGTTGTTCATTCAGCTTTTTCTTAAGCTGACCTCACATGCCTGTAGCCAGAGACTTGGTAATTCAGACACATAAATACGCACTAAGAAGAAGTCTATAGTTTTCAATATTCTCTAGAAATGGCCAGTTTTGCACCTCAGAGAGGCAGGCAGATAAAGGATGCTTGGAACGGACCCTTCCCCCACATTCCTAAACTCTGTACTGGACAGGAAAGAGCCCCAGGTGGCCAATCTAGGGCTCCAGGTGTGTCTCAGTTCATCCCACATCTGCCCACAGCCTGGGCCAGTAATGGGCATGAATACATCCAGGACTTCTGTGCCAACCACAAAGCTATTAAGTACGTGCTTCTGGGGGAAGGTGATGGGGATGAACTGTTGCTCCAGAGCTGAGATCACCAGGGCTGGAGATAAGGCCATCTGACCTCCAGAGGAGAAGCACACAAGGCCTAGAAAGACCCATGCATTAGCTTGGAGGAGGGGGAGGCAGCAACATCAGTCTGAAGGCCTTTCCTGCCAACCTTGCCTAAGGTTTGGTTGGATCTCAGGGTTCCCTGCCACTGCAGAGGGCCTGATGGGGAGGGACAGCTGTAACAGAGCAGGTGGGGGGGCTTCAGTGGCAGCCACAGGCCTTGACCACCATATTGCGGTGCTTCCGCAGAATGACATTGTTGCTGCTGTCATAGTAGAGCACAGAGGTGGCACTCAGTTTGGTGGGTGCACAGCATGCCTTGGGGACTGCATCTGGCTTCATCAGGTGCACCTGGCCAGAGAGAGCGCACAAGCAGGGATGTGAGCCTGGTAGCCTGTATGCTGTCACCCCGACCCATCTTGCAGGTCTCCTTGCACCTCCTCAGTCCCCATCTGACACCCGCAGCACACCTGCTCTGCCACCACCATCAGGCCCTGGCCAGGCCCCTCACACAGCCATCCAGGTCACAAATACCTGCCCTCAGCTCTCCGGATCCCTCGGCCATGCCTTGCCACATCCACTACCCCACATGTGGACAACTCTGCAGGTCACCAGAACCCCTGCACCCAGGCATCTTCTGAAGTACCAGCTCCTCCAGGGCTCCACTTCCTCTTCTCTGTGCTGCAACTACATCCCCGATGTATCCTAACCTGAGGTGGGGATGGTCGTCTCTCCACCAGTCTATAAGCAGCAACTACACAGAGCCAGTGGATAAGGCCTAGGGAGGGCTCTACATCCTCCTTGATATGTTTCCCTGCTCCTAGCAACTACCAGGACAAGGATTATTCTTTGCAAATGTTAAACTGAGGCACCAAGACCCAGGGCCCATGGCTATATGACAGGACTTAAATCAGGTACCAAATCCTGTTACCCTTCTCTAAACAAGCTTTCCTACCAGAAAGAATCTGATTTGATGAGCTATTTTCAGCCTCCACACACATACTTATCTGAGATGGGAAGGATGAACTGCAGTTTATTTGGATAGATGGGGCCATACAAAGGGCCCTGACAGACATGCTGCAGTCTGCTGGGGAGCAGGGCAGAAGAGAAGGAATGTGGTTCTACTGTGTGCATTTGGGCTAGTTGAGTGGACTGGATCTTTCTAGGATGCTGCCTCTCTGATCCCCAGCTCTGAGCTGGCTGCAGAGAGGTCTTCATGGATGGGCTGGTGTGGGACCACAACTTGGCTGAGGTCATGGGGTGTACCAGCCTCTGGAGGACACTGAGCCTGCGGGCTACTGCTCCCCAGCTGTGCACATTCAGGCCCATGCGAGAGAACCAGGAGGTGCTAGTACCTGTGAGGGCGATGGGCACTAAGTAGCCACAGCCCAGACAGAGCTTCCCCGCCTGGGGACACTGGAGGGAGAACTCACATCTTGGGTGCTGCCTTCCTTGCTCCACTGCCCTGAGCCTCAGATGGGCAACCCCAGGGAAGCAGCTATGACCCACATGGTATCACAGCCTGCTGCCTGCTGCACAAGACCCCATCTACCATTCGTTTGTTCCAGGGAGGTTGTTTGTTGTTTTGTTTTCCCGAGTTGAGAATTGAACCAGGTCCTTTCTCGCTAGGGAAGGGCTCTACCACTGAGTCCCAGGTCCCATTCAGTTCATTTTCGAGCCATACACCATGTAGAAAAAGAAACCAGAAGTTGTGACCATGCATCTCTGGGGACAGATCCCATGCCTGTGGACCACACCTTAGTCTTCCAAAAGTAGAGTCATACTTCCCTAATTCCCAACAGACATATCTGGACCTGAGTCAGGAGGGGAGCCTGGGACTTCCAGGTATTGAGCAGCTGGAGCCCTGGTGAAACCCTGAATTCAAAACGGACACCTGTGGACAGGTGTGGTGACACATGCCTGTAATCCCAGTTCTTGGGAGGCAGGAGGATTGCTAAGAATTTGAGCCTAGCTGGGCTACATAGGGGGTTTAAGGCCAGCCTAGACTGATAATGAGATCCTGCCTCATAAAACAAGACAAGCATGGAAGGGGGATGCAAAGGAGAGCAGCAGGGGGGCTGTGTATACCAGGCCAGGGGTTCAGACCTCTCCTGGGAATGACAGATATGACAGTTTCCCGGCTGAGAAGTACGTGGACAGTGGGTGAGGTAGGAAGACCCCACTGGCTGTGGCATGGACAGCAGCACTGAGGGTGGGCCCAGAGGGACCCGCTTTTCCTCTTGGCCCTCAGGACCTCAAGGCTCCCTGCCCTCCCATGCTGCGGCCTCCCCCAGCCCATGCTCCTTTTCCTGTCCAGGCCCTTGGGCTGCTGCTCTCCCTGAGGTCTTGTCTATCCTCAGGACACAAAGGCTGAGCTGAGCTGCATCTTTGAAAGCTCCTGGGTTTCACTTTGAACTCTGTCTGCACAGGTCCACCTGCCCACCAACCCCACCATATGCAGTGTGGCCTGCACGACAGGGTCCATACAGGCAGCTCCTCTCTGTGGCTGCTGTCACCTCTTTCCCAGGGGACCAGCCCCTTTCCTAAGGGTCCCCACCAGCAAGGTTGGCTGTAGTACTGACCAGGGACTGCAGGATGGCGTGGTTGGTGGCATTCATGCAGGAGTCCAGTGGGAAGGTGCACTCTCCCTCACAGTAGTAGGCTGAGTAGCCTTGGGGGGCGATGACCCAGTCCTGGGGGAATGGGAGAAGGTGAGTCCCATCTGTATGCCCAGAGCCCCTAACCCAGCACCTGGCAGGATGACTCAGGGCAGCCCTGCCCCCGCCCTGAGCCTCAAGGCCCCAAACCCACTCTCATCCCCTGCTGGGAAGTGTCCACTCTAGAGGCCTCAGGGTCAGGCCATGCTCTGTCCCCACCGCACCTATCTGCCTCTGCTTTCTCCCCACAGCCAGCCCTGCCTGCCCAGCATCCTGGAGCTGCAGTCCCAGCAAACTTGGAAACTCGCCCACCCAGCTCACTTTCCCTTTGGCAGAGTTGGAATTTTAGTTAGCCCAGGGCTCAGTAATTCCCATTTTTGTGGCTTTGTGTATACAAAAGGCCACATTTACACCATGAAAGTGACACAGCCTCACTGTAGAAAACTTGGAGACCCCAGGAGAAGAAAATGCCCTCCTCTTGCTCTTCTTCCTCCTCCTGGAGACCCACCTAGAGCTGCAGCTGGGAACTCAGTCTGGAGGGAGCCCACTCACCAGCCAGCCCAGGTCTCGGAAGCTCACATAGAGCTCGTGCCGCCGGCAAACCTGTCGGCCATGGGAGCTGTGGATGTCATCTGCAGGGATAGACGGCACAGGTCTTTTCTGGACTCTATGCAGTTCCCACAGGAGATCCCGGGGTGCAGGTCACCCTCACAGGCACATTTGTCAGAAAAGGAGCAATAGGAAATGAAACTCTTTTTTCTCATAAATCATATCCCTGAATCACTGGTCCTCCCATGCCCTGGCTCAGCAGCCTTCAGTGATTCCTGACTCCTGCGGAGCAGCGCTGGACCTGGCTGGGCCTGAGTTGTCTTTCAGCCCATGGGGCTGGCGCCTCTAGTGGGCAGCCCCAAAGCACCCTTGGCCACCCCATGGCCCCTCCTGCTTCACTCTGGGAACACCAGGATTGGCAACAACCCTTCCTGTCACCCTGGCCGCACAGGGGCCTTTAGCAAAATCACCAAGGCCTAGCCCTCACCAAAGATCCCTGGGAGTTTGTTGGGGTGTGGAAGCTCGTTGGTTTGCTTTGGCTGCCTCCTCTTCAGGGGTCGCACTGCGCGAGGGGCACGGATGGTGCTTGCACTGGCCCTGAAGAAAGTGACCATGAAAGGCTGTCTGGAGCGTGGTGCCTGTCTCCCCAGCAGACCAGCCAGGCCAGGGGCAACGCTGTGTCCTGAGAGAGAGAGAGAGAGAGAGGACACAGAGTCACTCACAGACAAGGCTGGGGACCTGTGGGCCTTCTGAGCCTCAGTCTCCTTGTCAGAAGCCAGTAGCACTAGCTCCAGCCCCAGCTCTCTGGTGGGCAGGTCTAGGAAGGAGTGCTGGGTGCGTGTCACAGGCAGAGACAAGTGTGACCCAGAGGTGTAAAATTGGGGCTGGTTTCGGTTACCCCAGTAATTCCCAGGTTAGTCCCTATAGCAGCCCTGTGTTTCCTACTTTACAGAAGACCCATCAGCGTACTCACTGATGACCAGAGTGCACAGCTGATGACATTCAGAACCAGGGCTCCTTCCTCGGGACCGAAGGCCTGTGGCCTGCCCTCTGTTGCCCTTTCTGGGGAGGTGAATGTGGGATTGATGGCAGTATCAACCCAAGACACTGAGCATTCATCACCAACTCTGCCCAGCACGGCCCAGGGCAGGGTGGTCACTGCCTTCCCTTGCAGACAGGAGGCACTGGTGCCAGCAGAGCAGACATTGGGACAAAGTCCCAGATTCCAGCTTGGCCCACATCAACCTCTTTGGGAAACCCCAGTTCATATGCACTAGGCCAAGGTGATGGTTGGAAGGGAAAAAAGGAAAGCTGCAGAGATAGGGCCCGGGTCCTGCCTAGGAAGAACAGAACCCGAAACACTGGGATCTTAATGCCCTTTCCTCTTTTGGCTGCCTCCTGCCTGCTCTGGACCTCAGCCTTGTCCCACTGATGCTTGTCCCAATACCCAGGGCAGATCAGATGTCCCTTGAGGCCCAAGAGGTGCAGCTCACTGTGCCAGGTGACATCCCATCCTGCAGGGGTCCCCTCCCTAACTCTGGAGAACAGGACCTGGCCCCTCCTTGGGGTGGCCTGCCAGAGGTGCCATTATGAACACAGTCCACCCTGGAGAGGGACACTTGCAGCCCAGCCCTGTCCTCTTGGGCTGGTTTGTCTCGCACATGGCCTCTGATTTTTTTTTTTATTGTAAAAGCACCGAAGTAAACACTTTTGAGAAAAAATATGGCCCATAAAGTGTCTCCAAACTCCCATACACTTGTTTTAATTATCCTGGGCTATTTTCATGTGCTGATTTACATTCTACAGAGTTGCCAGTATAGCATAGTAGTCTGTTCTTTCAACTTTTTAACATAAACCTTTGTGCAGTAGTTGAAATACATTGCCACAATAAAAAATTTAAACACATAAAATGCCTTTGAGCAAATCGGACTTCCTTTCCATAGGTGGGAGCTTCTTCTTAGAGTAAGGTTTTCTTGGCTTTCTTCATGAAGAGGAAAACACACACCCTCATGATAAAGCTGTGTGGAATTTTTTAGTAAGTTATACATTGCTGCTCATTTTTATATTTTTCAGCAACACTTGCTGACAAGCCTACTTGCACCTCCCACTGTGAGCACCAGCACACAGATGCCCCAGCACCGGGTGTGCGTGCATGAAAACACACACATATGTACATTTGTAGGCACCGTGTAGATGCAGGTCCATCTTCCCCAGCTGCGGCCTACCAGCATGTCCACTCCACAGCACGGTCAGGATGCTGCCAGCTCCCTCACAGTGCACTGGAAGGTCACCCTGCAGCAGCTGGGCCTCAGATCAGTAGTCCATGGGCCACTCAATGGAACCAACCATCAGCCAAGGCTAATCTTTGACCTATGACATCACTTGTCATTAATACAGATGCTGGGCCCTGAGGCTGCCTCAAGGTGTGGGGAAAGCTGCAGAGACAGGGGCTGAGAGCTCTTGGGCTGGCACTTGGAGGAAGCCCAGAGAAGCCATGCAGGGACTGTGGGACCTGACAGCTGGGGCCATGGAGAAGCTGTGGTGCTCTAAGTACACAGAGTTACAGCTGCAGAGGAAAAGGTGAAGGAGGTCACCTTGGGATGACATGGCTGAGAGATGGCAGCCATGGTCGCAATGCTGGGCATTGGTGCAAACCCCATAGCCTGCTGCCACAGGTGGCCTAGCCTCAGGGCAGCCTCCAGTCCTATGTGGGCTCCCTCTGAGCGCCCTGAAGCCTTGCCTGCTGTAGGCGACACATGCTCAGTATTCTGGGCCAGCTCTGGCTTTGCTTTGCTCTGCTGCAGCTGTTTTTAGGGTCCTGTGGGGTCTACTGAGGGTGCTGGGTGCCTTCTGTACATCAGATGTGCATGGCTGATGCCTTGGGATACGGCTCATCCTAGGTTCCCATTTTATAGAAGCGGGAACTAAGGCCCAGAGAGAGGAGAGCAAGCAGCTGCAGAGCCCCGCTATTCCGAGTTTCCCCAGTAGGTGGCAGTGGCCTATCAGGTAGGGGCAGGAGAGCGGGGGACTGGCACTGTCTTCTCCCAGAGCCTGGGTAAGCAGCCCCTTGCTGATCCAGAGTTGCCCTTCCCCACAGCTCAGCACTTTGCCTATCCCATCCTTGGGCAAGGTCCTGGCTTCTGCTGGCTGCAGGGAAGGTGGAGCAGGCCAGTGCTGGTGGTGGTGGGATGTTCAGCTATTGGCAGCCACCATCCCAGAAAGACAGGTGGAAGCTGGGGACCTTGCCTAGTGTAGACCCACTCGCCAACAGCACCAGGCCACATTTTGCCTCCACCTTCTATAAGGCCTGCCCTAGTGCCAATGCCACCCCTCAGCCTGCAGGAGGAAGTTACCTAGAGCTTCACTGCAGAGCAATCTGGATGCCATGTTGAAATTGAGGGAATCCAGACATGATCATTCCCTGGTGCTTTAGGTCACCTGGAAGTAGGGACCCATACATGTCCTCTTCTGGTGGCCCTCCCATCTGTCTGCTCCAGGGCCTCCACCTTGTCCCACTGTGTTGGTGATTTCTCCTGATGCCCAGGGCAGATCAGGCACCCCCAGAAGCCCCAGAGGTGCAGCTTGCTGCACCAGGTGAGAACCCATCCACCTCTGACTGGCTGTGGCACCTCCCTTGGTGTCCCCTCCATATCTCATGAATCACAGATCTGGCCTTTCATTGGGCTGAGAATCCCTTGTGAGAAGCCAGAGTCCCCTGCTCTGAGCAGGTATCCCAGGCTTTAATGCGACCAAAGGTAGGCTGGACACTAGGCTCCACTCTCACAGGTCATCCCCAAGCCCATGCCCCCATATGGGTTCTACTTGTTCACACCAGTGTGTGGGACAGTAGAGTGAGGATGGTGTGCCCCGCTGCCCTGCTGAGTTAGAGGAGAGGACATCACACAGGCCAGTTTGGGCTGCAGAATGGTCTAGTGTGCATGCTGTGTGATGCTACAGTTTAGGCAGAGGTGATACAACACTGCCATCAGTTAGGTTCCTAGATCTCCTTGTAGGCCGAGGCACAGCCTTGAGTGACACCAGGGGATTGTGGAGAGGCCTCTCCAGGTGGGTCCGAGCACTACTGTCCTCCCTTCACCCCTCCCATTCCCAGGTCCTGTCCCATGGAGATGGCTCTGCCTTCCTCGACAGACATCTGCATAGCTACCTAGAGAGGGCCATGGGAGCAGGAGGGCAGGGTGGGGGGATGCAGAGCCAAGGACAAAACGGAACACCCAGGAGAAGAGCAGGGGCTGCCAGGAAAAGCTTCCCTGAGGCAGCCCTTCTGCTGCGCAGTGGCACTCAGCTTGGCAAGCAGCAATAAAATGGCACTTCAGGGAACTCTGCATGGGCTGTTTTCTCCCACATCTGTCCCCTCTACAGCTCAGGATTTCCTTGTGAGGGGAAGAGTGGACCAGCGCCCACCAGGCCACCCTCTTGCCCAGCAATTCACTGTAAACATCACAGATGGTGGAGCAGGCGCCAGTGGCCTCAGATACAGAAGCAGGGGCTTTGGGTGTCTCCTTCGGTTTTTAATCCAATTCCTCTGGCTCTGGTAGGACAGGGTATCTTGCAGTAGAAAACCTGAGAGGACAACAGCCCCTGGCTGCTCCACCCTCACTGCGCCACCTGCTGCATGGGCCTGAGGTTCGGGGACACAGCAAAAGGACAGCCTGTGCTAGTCTGGACCTCGTCCACGGTGGAGCCCTCCCACAGCTCCACCAGCGTCAGCCCTCTGTTCGGGTGCACATCAAACACGCCCTTCTCAGTGATGATGCGGTCCACACAGCGCTTCCCAGTCAACGGCATGGTGCACTCGTCCAGAATTTTGGGGGTCTTTGTCTTCGTGCAGTGCTCCATAGTGACCACCACTCTGGTTTTGGCGCTGGACACCAGATCCATGGCTCCGCCCATCCCCTTCACCTTCTTGCCAGGTACCATCCAGTTGGCCAGGTCTCCATATTTGGAAACCTGCATGGCCCCCAGCATGGTCAGTTGGATGTGTCCTCCGCGAATCATGGCGAAGGAGTCGTCGCTAGCGAAGAAAGAGCCCCCAGGCAGCACGGTTACCGTCTGCTTGCCTGCATTGATGATGTCTGCATCCACCTCCTCTTTCAACGGAAACGGGCCCAGGCCCAGGATCCCGTTCTCACTGTGCAGATGCAAGGTCATGTTGGGGCTGATATAGTTGCTGGCCAGGAGAGGGATGCCTATGCCCAGGTTGGCATACATGCCATCCTCAAACTCCAGAGCCGCCCGCTTGATGATCCGGGTCCTGATGTCACCTGCTGTGGTGGCTGGCTCGCCTTGCCCAGCCCGCGTGGTTAAACGTTCAATTCTTTTCTCGAACTTGGCCCCCTTTATCACGCGCTTGACGTAAATGTTGGGCACGTGGATGTCTTCCGGGGCGAACGTGCCCACATCCACGATCTCTTCCACCTCCACCACGGACACGTCGGCCGCCTTGCACATGGGCGCGTTAAAGTTCCTGGCGCTCCCGCGGAAGACCACGTTGCCCGCGCGGTCAGCCCGCCAGCCCTTGACCAGGGCGAAGTCGGCGCGGAGGGCGTGCTCCAGCAGGTAGTGCTTCCCGCCGAACTCGCGCACCTCCCGGGGCTGGCTGAGCACTGCCAAGTGGCCATCGGGGTAGTAGGCGATGGGCGCGCCCCCCTCCTGCACCAGCGTGCCGTAGCCCGTGGGCGTGTAGAAGGCGGGCACGCCGGCGCCGCCCGCGCGGATGCGCTCGGCCAGGGTGCCCTGCGGCGTCATCTCCAGCTCCAGCTCGCCAGCCAGGTACTGCCGCTCGCACACCGCGCTCTCGCCCAGGTAGGAGCAGACCACGCGGCGCACCTGCTTGGCGGTAAGCAGGACGCCGAGGCCGAAGTCGTCCACGCCCGCGTTGGTGCTGATTACCGTCAGGTTCTTCGCGCCCACGTCCCGCAGCGCGGCGATCAGGTTCTCGGGAATCCCGCAGAGCCCGAAGCCGCCGATCATGACGGTCGCCCCGTCCGAGACGCCCCGCAGCGCCTCCCCCGGGTCGGTGCAGAACTGGACGCGCGCGGGGGAACCGGTGGCGAAGCGGCGCGCGCAGCCCAGGGGGCGCGCAGGCCCGACGCACCGGGCGCAGACCCGGCCGCCCAGGGCAGCTGCCAGGAGCCGCAGCGCCGCCATCGTCCCCCTGGCTGGCGAGGTGGGAACTGGCTGGGCACCTACCCCAGTACCCCCGCGACGACACCCCGCCGCGTCACAGAGCCCGGAGGGCTGCGGCAGGACCTCACTGGGGTCACGCTCTGCGGCGGGCACCTGCCTGGACTCCCGGTGCCCGGCCTGCCCAGGAACCTGGAGGGTCACTCCAAAGGCTGCAGACGTCGAAGATACTGAGTATCTAAAGGCCAGATGCTGCAGGGTGACTTGCCGGGGAGGGTGAGGGCCACCCTCAAGGAGCCTTCACCATGTGCCAGGCAGCTCACCTGTTTCACCCCACTGAGGCCTGGGAGAGTGAGGATGGAGCTCACAGGAGGGCCAGAACTGGAGCGCCTCCCGGGAGCTGGACTCACAGAGGAGTCTTTCAAAATCCAGGGTCCCTGTTCAGCAGTGTAGCACTTGCCTAGCATTGACTGGAGAGGCCCTGGGTTCACTCACCAATGTTGGAAACGACAATAAACACCTAAGTCAGAGCTTGTCACCCCTCAGTGCTACTAAAGAAACTACCCTAAAATCGCCAAACACCTTCTCCAGGTCACCCTAACTTAGAGTGACCTCTGTACTTCTCTCCCTGTCTCTTTTCCTTCCCAGCCTCCGCCACCCCCAACCTACTCCTCCATGGAGCCTGCTGCTGGACCTTAGCCAGCCTGTTCCCTGCCTCTGGTCTTCTATCTCCACTGCCAGTACAAAGGAAGCTCTCCCCAGTACCTGTGCACCAGTGAACGAACCTCATCTGCAGATGAGGAAACAGAGGTGAGGAATGGAAAGGTCAGTAACATGCTTATGTCACCAGGTTAGACATCAGGGAGCCACCAGGATTCAACGCAGTGACCCCCCCCCCACCTTCCCACCAGACCCGCCCAGGGCCAAGGATGCCCGTTCCCAGGGAGGAAGCTGCATCCCCCTCAGCAGCTCACCACCTCTATAGGAGGACAGGAGGGACAGCGCCTGGGGTGGGAGCCTCCTGTGGTCAGGACCTCACTCTCCACCGATGGAGTCCTCACAGTAGGTACAGCTGACGTGAAACAGGTACTTGGGGATCAGGGAGGCTGCTCCCCAGTGCCGGGCCACTGCTGGAGTCACCAGCTGGAGCCCGGCAAGAGCCCCCCCCAACCCTGAGTCTCACCATCCAAGGTTTCCACATGGATACGGAGTCCCAGATCCTTGTTACGGCTCAACAACCAGCGGTCACTGGCTGCTGTGACATCCAGCACCAGCCAGCCCTCGTCTCCTGCTCTGAGGGTCTGAAGATCCAAAAAGAACAAGTCAGACTCCCTGTGGACACGAAAGAACAATTAACCTCAGGTGGAGGGCCAGCCCTGCTGCCTCAGGGGAACTGCTGGAGCAGCTACCCTGCACTGGCCTGGACTGGGCTCTTTCTCTGCAGTATATCACTCATACTCCACCCCAAACCATGTTTCTGTGCCTGTGTGCAGGTGGGGACACTGAGGCACAGTGGCCCAGGGACCCGTCGAAAGCCCCACAGCTGGGAGGCAGGGCACAGCCATTCAGGCCTAGCATGTTTCCCACCTCTGAGCCTGTTCTCCCAGGCAGCTCCCCTTTCCTCCTCTGGGAAATGCCCCTCACCCCTCCCAGGACTGGGCAGGATATGATGCCTGAGCCTTGCCCATGGGACAGGGAGGACAGGCCTGGGCTGTGTGCAGGCAGGTACCTGTTGGAGTGCTCCTGGACCACCTCAAACACGCTGATGTGGAGAGTTGTGTTGAATATCTGGGTGCTGGGCACCTTATAAATCCGGAACTCAGCAGCTGTGACCGCCTCCCCAGCTGGGATCTGCGTCAGATCGAAGCGGAATTCTTTCCAGTGGGGCTCATGGTGGCCCAGGGCATGGTCACGCTCCACTGGAAGACAAAGCAGGAGATGGGGGTTAAGAGCAGCTGGGGTGGCTTGGGCTCTGGAGCAGGAACCAGGCAGCCTGGTCAAGGCCAGTTTCTTCTTCCCAAAGAGGCTTTCCAGCTGCTGCCCCAGGTGTAGACAAAGCTTCAGCATGTCACTTAGTGAGCAGCTCTGGCAGATGCTGGACAGACCTCGTGCCCCAAACTTCTTGCAACCCCCTACTGGGGCCCTTGCTGGCCCTTGGAGCCACAAGAAAACAGTGGACAGGTCATCCTCCAGGAGTGCAGGCCGAAGGGGAGTAGAGGTGAGACCCAAGGCAGAAGGGTCTGGTCTGCCAGGGGTGGGACGTGGAGGGGGGGTGGACATAAGTGTTGCATTGCAGTGGGACAGGGGCCATCCCAGGCTCATCTTGCTTCTGGTTTGGAAGTGGGGGAGTACAAAGCTCTAAATCTGACAGCTGAGCAGTCTTGAGGGCCGAGGAGAAATGTGCCTCAGTGTCCAGGGAGAGGATGCTGCAGAGGGCAGCCCAGGGGAGCAAGAGCAGTGGGCCCCAAGGACAGGGAAGGAGATCCACTGGCAGAAGCCACAAATTGCCTTTAGAGGATAAGGGGAGGAGGCAGGAGGGAGGTGAAAGGGAGAAGGTGAGGGGGTTGGGAGCTCCCCTGTTCTGTGGTGTGGTGGCATCAGTGGGTCTGCCCTGGGCCTCATCCTCCTCCTTTGATGAAACCATCTCTGGCTCCCACGCTTCCAGGAAAGGTCCACTGTGGGCAGGAGGTGGCATCCGTGGCCACGATGCCAATCCATATCCCAGGCCCTGCATTGACACACACAGGCTGCATCTCCTGATGCCAAACCCTGTGTTTATCTGCCTTGCACCAACAAGGTAGGAAGACAAGCTCCTGGAGAGGTCCAGTCAAGGGCTGCAGAAGTTGGAGGGACCCAGGAGTGGCAGGACCTGAGCAGGTTTCTTGGAGGAGGTGACTTCTGAACTGGTCTTAAAGGATGGGCAGGCATCTCAGTGGGCAGAGGGCCCTGGTGTGCACAGGTGAGGGGGTTGGAAGCTCCCCAGTTCTGTGGTGTGGTGGCATCAGTGGGTCTGGCTGGGCCTGCCTGTGAACTGGAATCCTGGGCTGGGGATGTGGCTGTGCCTCTGGCCAGTGGGAAGCTGTAGGGGGATGGTAGAACCCTGTGGAAGCAGCAGTGAGGGCTGGTGTGAGGCACTGACAGGGGGCGACCTCTCTGGGCAAAGGCCAACTTCGGGATGAATCCTTCATTTGCCCAGCTGCACGGAAATGCCTCAGGTGGTATATTTAGGGCAGTTTCCCTTTAGCCTCTTGTCACTTTCAAAAGCCAAAAATCTGTGTTTCCAGAAAGCAAGAATGGGAGCCGCCCAAGTGCCTTCCCCACAACCCAACACTGAGATTTTAATTATATGTGTGTGTGAGTCTTTTTAAAAACCCACTCTGGCTACTGGGCTCAGTAACCACAAGTCAAGTTTAGAAAAGCACCAGGTTATGCAGCTGGGCGGATGTGGGGAGCGCTTCCTGTCCTCGTGGTGGGGACCTGGTCCAGGGATAGACAGGCACGCAGCTGTGCTGGGCAGGACAGGGATGGGGACATTTGGGCAGGAGCAGGTGGGAGCTCCATCCCCAGGTGAGGAAGGAGAAGAAATGGCAAGTTCAGGGTCCCCTGCATGTCAGAGCTCACTTTTCAGTCAGAACAGGATTTTGAAATATCTTTTTTATAAACAGATATAGTCATTCAATCCTTTGTGCATATTACTGCCCTGAGCTTTGGGAAAACTGCAGTGAACAAGGTCTTTGCACTAAAGGAACTGAAGGTCTAATGAGAGAAATGAACTATGATTTTAAAAAGAAACAGGTAAAATAGCAATGTCACTTCTTTTGTAGGTAATAAGGAGATAAGATCATGGTGACAGAGTGATGGAGAGAGTACCCATGGAGAGAAAGAGATAAGTTAAGCTAGGTATGGTTCCATAAGTACCTCCAAAAGTTTGTTTTCCACAAAATTATAAAAGCTACCCAAAATGTTCAGTGAACTTGCTTCTGTCTGAGGAAACAGCAAATAGATTTACTTTTTTAATTGCCTTAATGTGGCTCTCCGGAAAATAAACAATTATGAATCATCCACATGTGCAGACAGAGCCCTGGGCCACCTCCTCCACCCTCTGACGAAACCACCTCCGGCTCCCACGCTTCCGGGAAAGGTCCACTGTGGGCAGGAGGTGGCATCCCTGGCCACACTGCCCATGCAAAGCCCAGGCCTTGTGCTCACCATTCACAGGTTGCATCTCCTGATGCCAAATCCTGCATTCGTTCCCCTGACACCAACAAAGTGCTGGCTATTTTGGTTCTCTAGATGAAATTAGACTCACCCAGGAGACCAAAATTTGTCTTGTTTCTGACCAAAAGTCTTCAAAAGTCTTCAGCTCAGGAGAATAGATTGTTCTGTCCTGTCAGACCCTTGCTGCCTCGCAGCAAATCCTTCAGGGCCCCAGCCACTCACAGAAGGGCCCTCTGCCAACTGTCTGTCTGTCTGTCTGTCTGTCTGTCTGTCTGTCTGTCTGACATGACCTCTTGTACCTTGTGCCCACACTCTCCTGGGGGCCCCCTTCCACCATTTCTAAAGGCTGCTTTCCCTTCCATCCCACTAAGGAACTGTGTCCTCCTCTCCTTCCTCCTCTTTCGGCCACTCACAGTCCAGGCTGTTGGTCTGTCCCTTTTCCCTGAGCCAAGGGGTCCTGCTAAGCTGCCTCTCTGGACAGTGAGCTCTTTCAGGGCAGAAACTGAACATGTAAGGTAAATATAGGAATCTCCAGCAGTCCCCTCATCAAGGCCCTGTGCTCCAGGGGCCCAGGTGGGGTGTCAGCTTATTCTTCCCAGGGGCTGCTTGTCCCTGGGACATTGGCTCAGGGTCCAGCATTCACTGCCCCTTGGGCTGAGGCAACACTCACCTGGAAGTGACCTATATGTCAAGTGTATCTCTCTAAGAGGCCCCTGAGGTTTTCACACTGCCGTGGGACTTGCTTCCTTTTCCAGCCTGGCTTCTGAGGGTGGGGACAGGCTCCCCAGAGCCCCTGGGGTGGACAGGCTGGGCCTGTCTGGCTTGTTCTGCTGTTAGCCAAGACCCAGGGGCACCACTTCAAACCTAAAACAATACCCATCTCTGTGTCCCCTGCAGGTCCCTGGAGGGGCCATAGAATTGGTAACCTATCACTTCTTAAGGGCTTTCTCCTGCCAGAAATCTCAGCCCTGTGGAGAACAGGCCAAGGGTCTATTCTGAAATATTCCCAGCCAGGTCTCATTACTGACTTCTTCACGAGCTGTTTCCATAAATGGCTCTGAACACATAATTACTGGCTTAGTCCTCAGATGGCTTCAGAACCCAAATTAAAAGGGAACACCCACACCGGCTACCACATCAAGCCCGCCAAGGTAAAAAATAGTTCTCAGGCGATATGAGCAAGAAGGACGCTATTCCTCCAGTTGAAACTCATGAGCAAACTAAACTGTGGGAAGCATCCAGAAAGGCATGGTCATGGAGACACGTTGCCTCTTGGTGTGGGGAAGAGGCTTCCATGAGGTGGTGGGCTGGGTGGGCCTCTCCACCCTGTGGCTCACCCCTGAGGAACCCTCATCCCTGGGCAGTGGGCGGCACCTTCTTTGTGCAGAACTGAGCCCAGAAGAGACAGTACATTTGCCAGTTGGTCACAGGTGAGGTTAGGGTCCCTGCTGTGGACTTGCAGGCTTGGGGCCAATGGGAGGCCTGGAGTTCTGCAGATGACAACACAGGGATAGAAGGGTCACCTGTCAGCAAGCTTCTTCTGTCAACAGGAGCCCCAGAATGGCTGCAGGAGCCACCTTCCTCCAGCAGGGCCTGCAGGTCTCAGGGAGGTGCTGTGGTTATTGTGAGCACCACACAGACAAGGAGAGCCAGCCTGCTCTGCCCCAGCCCAGGCGCCCAGCTTCCATCCTCTCTAGCACTCTGGGGCTCCCGCCTCCTGCCGAGTTCCCCTTGCCCTCAGCTCTACCAGGCTGTGCAGAGCACCTACCAGGCAAGGGCTGGGAGGATGGGGCTCCAGGTGCATCTGATTTGGGCATTTGAGATTGGTCATGCTTCCCCAGAAATCAGAGGAAGAGGGGCTGGCTATGCAGACAGGCAGAAAGCCTGGGGGCCTCGCACACACAGTGGAGCAGGAGCTCTCTGTCCACACAGGGAGCTTGGGGAGAAGGGGTCAGAGAATGCTTTGTTTTAAGAAACATTCAAGAAAGGCAGAAAAAATCAGACAGGCAGAAATGGAGAGCAGCCATCTCGACAAAGGCATAAGGGTGAAGCCACGCTCATGCCCACCTTCAAAGACTGAACTAAGTGCCAGGCACCGTGCTAGGCATACCATAGATGCCATCCTGTTAATGTTCACGTGAGCACTGTATGGTAGTTATCATTGCCTTGTGACACATTACTCAGATGGAGAAGCTTAGAACAGCACATCATTTCTTGGGGCCAGGAATCTTGATGCTTGGGTCTAGGTCGGGTCGGTTGTGAAGTCATGGCCAAGGCGTCAGTCTCTCCAAAGACCTGGCGGACTTGCAGAGGCTGCTTCTGAGCTTGCACATGTGGCTGAGGCAGCAGCCCTGACTTCCCCATGTGTGGGCCCTCTGGAGGGCTACTCACCACATGATTCCCCCAGAAAAAGTCAGCCAAGTGCGGCCCATTGCCAACTGGTAGACACCTTGATACACCCAGCTGAACTGAACCAGCATGGTGCTGGGTGTGGGAGGCCCACCTGCGGATTGTTGCCGGCAGCATAAGAGACAGAACTGGAGAAGCCGTCGGGAAGCTGTTAGAGAAGCTGTGTGGAGAAGCTGCTGGAGCTGTTGGAAGCTGCTTGTTCTCCTGGGTTATTCTGCTGGGAGACCTTGTCATGCTGGCTGTCCTAGTGAACTTGGTTGTTCTCATAGGAAAAGGAGCACAGAACCTCGTT